ACCCCTAACTTTTATTGAACTTCAATTTCCAGTTTTGCCAGCTTACATTATCTCTATCCTTATACCCTGGCTTCACCGGAATAGGGGATCCCACAGACAGGAAATGAGGGGGATCCCACAGACACAAAATGAGGGGATCCCACAGACAAAAACCAGGGGGATCCCACAGACAGATTATTTGCCATTAAAGGGGTAGAGGACTCAGGCAGTTAACCTGCCGAGGTTAATGAGGTTCTGAGCTCAGCTTGATAGACTTTTGCTATTGGACACAGCCCAAGCTTGCTAGCACGGGCAAGAGCCTTGTGTCCCCTACTAGCATGCTGTGGATTTTGGAGATGCTTCGAGGGTATGACAATACTCAGGGTGGTCACGGTATCCACTATCAGCAACATCTCTCTCGCTCCCATCCAATATGGCCAGTCTGATTGGCAGTAAGGACTGACATCAGACGTCAAGCCATCGCTCTCGCTCCAACTTCTTGGTGAACCAAGCAATGCGAGCTGAAGGGGTGCTGCCCATTGATGCGAAAGTGAGTTCCACCAAGAGCCACCTTGCAGCGGCTGCGATTGTCATTATGAGTCTGTTGTTCCCCACTTGATCTGCCCCAGAGAGAGAGAAAGGGCACTTACTCTTTGCAGTTCTCATGACAATGATACAATTTGATTGAGCGAAATGTCGAGGGAGGTAGCAACGCGACAGCCGGAGCTACGGTATCTCCGCGTGTACTAGTACTCGATGTTGATGAAGGGCATGAGGCATGAGAGCAACGCCCCGTTTGCTGGGTGATTAATTCTCTTTACATTTTATATTCTGCTCCAATCACAGCAACCAATTATCAAGACTATCAATTGATACAAAATGCGTCTATTATGATTATTGAATAGTGTTGCTAGTTACAGTTGGTGATCTCAATTTTCAACAAATGGCATTCCTTTTCCAAAGTAGCGTGGCTCTTGGCCCCTGCGCTGTGAGCCGCGGCAGCAGCACTCAGACCATCGCATTCCATGAGCCGAGGCTTGCATTCGGGACAACACCGAACCAAAGGTTGCAAGCATCTTGCAGCTTCGGAAGCGTCGTGCGGTCGCTGATCGGCGCTACGTAGCTCTGTAACCAAGGCCATCAAAAAGCTGGGAGCACAGAGCTGTTCTCGTCGATCGGTTAGGACCGAGTCCAATTGACCCTGAGCTTCCAGAATGTTCAAGCAGTTAGCCAGCACCGCAATGGCCAAACGATGCATGGTCGCGCAGTGCTGCTCTTCCATTTCCCCCTTTTCCTCTTCCTCGGCGTTCATGTCGCCAACGCTCCAGCACTCGATGAGAGAGACCAAGGTCTCCAACAGGGGGCCGCAGACAATAGCCTTGGCGACAAGACATTCGCACTCGGCGGAGCGTGAAAGATGACTGAGACTCTCCATGGCCAACAAGTGAGCATCAAGTCGATCCTTCTTGAGGAGGCCAGCGGCAAGTTCCAGGCCGCTCTCCAGGCTTTCCTTCTCTTCTTCGTGACTGCTCTTACGCGGAAGTGTAGGAGCAGGAACAGTGCATGCCCGTCTCTTGGTGTTCGCCTGCTTCATTCCCTTGGCAGCGCGGAGGACGGTACGGGCAGTTTGCTGGAAGAGAAAGCAGCATCCAGCCTCCCGTTGCAGTTCAACAATCACTTTGCCATCCCCGGCAAAGAGACGAGTGGTAAAGGTAACAGCCTCATGGGTCTCTGCTTCTACCATTGCCTGTTGACACGGAAAAGAAAAAGCACTTGAGCCTGATGATGACAAGATCCAAAATTAAGTCGTGCTCCGCGCATGGCCGCTTACCTCGTCATCGTCGAACACTGCGTAGACCGATTCTTCACGAAGACAGTCGGCAATACGAGCTGCAATCTCCGTAACAGATGCATCGGCAATCTTCAAATGAGTGCGTTCTAGTCTGTAGAAGGAAGGGACTGGTCTAAGTTGGCTGATCTTCCATGCCTTGTTGACTGTGCCAGAAGTAGTAGCCGGCGCGCTCTGCGGCGATTGGGTCTTGTTGTGAGCTAAGTTGGTGCGTCCACCGAAAGGCATGGGCATAGGAGGAGCCATCGATGGGGCAGCCGGCTGTATCCGTACGCTCCGCATCTCGGGGCGCTCCTCCTTGATAACACGTCGTGGTGGGATGCTCATGGTGGCGGTTGAGTTGGAATGGTTTGATCTTGTTGTTGTGCGTGGAGTGCGAGTGGATTTTGTGTGCCAAGGAAGGAAGCGGGATGCTCCAAGAAACAGAAAAATGTGAACCAATTGATTCGTGAAGGTCTGACCGTCATCCGATTTAAGCTGGTCCCACGGACACGTTCTTCCTCAAGATCAATCCCATTTATGTGGAGTCGAGTCATCGCATGACTTTTTGCGACGGTTTCTCTAAATCTTCGCGATGCTGGTTAAACCAAAAGATATATTCTAAAGGTTAGGGATAAAGCAATAGGTTCCGATTGATCATTCGATTGAATTCGATTCGATTCATCATTCTCCGGTAAGATTTGGCACTGCGGGAATGAGCGTGGCGGTTTGCAATGGCGCGAAATGTCATTCAGATGCCAAGAGCTGGCTGTCGCTTCGTTGGCTTCAATAGCCCTTCAATAGATGGGGATGGCAAAATAATGCTGGGGACCATAGTGGTTCGGCATGTTTGCCCCAGATCGAGGTAATGTCCTCTGTAATGTACGGTGGTGGATCTCTCCATAGTCCCCAACTGCTGAAATTGCATCTTGGAAACACACAGCAGTTCGCCAAAACACCAAAGTTATTGGTATTTTGCTGAACTCCTTTTGGGTGATATCTTGTTTTCTTCAGCGTGAATGATCGCCATAGTGATCCAACTGGCGAAGGAAGTCCATTGAGAATCAGCTCCTCGAGTCATCAGGGCGTACAGACTCATGGCTTCATGGTCCACAAAATATGGAGCGCCAAAGACAAATCCAGCACCAGAGTTTTCACCAAACATTGCCTTTATTAGGGAAATGCGGCTTCCTGCAACAACATCGGTATGTACGGTAGCTAGCATCTAATTCTTTGTTTTAGTCGCGGCTCTCCTGTACAAAACTATAGGCTTGGAACAAAAGAGGTCGAAGCTGGCGTCATAGTCACTAGTGCTGTCCTACTCCTCTTCTGGGCATCCATTCTCACGTGCCCACTGGAGGGTTTTCAACTGGCCATTTCTAGCAGCTTTCCTGCATGTTCTTGCATCCCAGGGGCATCCATTTTCACGGGCCCACTCCAATGTTTCCAAATGACCGCCACCAGCAGCTTCCATACATGTGCTGGCATCCCAGGGGCATCCATTTTGATGTGCCCACTTTAGAGTTTTTAACTCGCCATTTCTGGCGGCTTCTGTACATGTTCTTGCATCCCAGGGGCATCCATTTTCACGGGCCCACTCCAATGTTTCCAAATGACCACCACCAGCAGCTTCCATACATGTGCTGGCATCCCAGGGGCATCCATTCTCATGTGACCACTTCAGAGTTTTCAACTGACCATTTCCGGCAGCACTGCAGCATGTGGCAATATCCCAAGGACAGTTGTTTTCTCTGGCCCATTTCAACACATCCATATGACCATGTTGTGCAGCGGCAGCACATGTTTTCTCATCCCATGGGCAACCATTTTTGTGTGCCCATTTGAGAGTTTCCAAATCACCATTCAAAGCAGCAAAATAGCAGGTCCATACATCCCAAGGGCATCCATTTTCGTGGGCCCACTTCAGAATGTCCCGATGGCCCATGTGCGCAGCCGAGGTGCATGTCTCTTCATCCCATGGGCATCCATTTGTACGAGCCCATTTGAGGATTTCCAAATGACCATTGTTAGCAGCAGTCCAGGCTGTATTGTCGTCCCATGGGTATCCTTTCTTGTGGGACCATTGTAGAGTTGGCAGGCTTCCATTTTCAACAATTTTAGTACAGAGTTGGCCTGGGTTGGGGGTTTTGCCACTGGAAGTGTCCCGTTCCCAAAACTCGGCAGATGGAACATTAGAGAATGCAACTCTGTAGAATGTATCTCTGCTAGTTGCCAAGCGCTGATCCTCACTCTCATCATCGTAGACCCTTGGAGGGCTCTCCACCGAATCACAAAACTCCCTGTAGAGGTTGCTCAGTTTCTTGTTGGCCAATCCAACAAAGGCAAAGTGTCCCATTCCCAAAAATGGAAAGATGCTGTTAATCCAAACATCCTTTTGATGCAAGAACAACAACAACGAGTCGACAGGAGGGGATGGAGATGTCATGTATTCATGAAAGCAACGATGCATAGTCTAGACTGATGGGGGCTGCGTGCATGTCTGCTTGTCTGCGGCTATCAAATTTTGTGTGGGCTTGTGGGCGGTGTCAATCTTTCATGTTGATGCATTGATGGAGCGGTTACTAAAGATATAAATGCTTTTTTGTAGCGGTATCGCAACTAATTTGCACTGATAACCGGTCTGTTTTTACGTTTCGATGAGGGACGATGGCACCCGCCGATGACAACAACGGCAACAACCCAACCAAAAGTGTCGCTTCCGACCTCCCTCTGTTATTAGTCTACTACCATACCGGTACCGTACCTTCCAGTCACTGCCATCAAAGTCTCCAGTTGCTGGCAATTTCTGGCATTTGATTTATATTAAAAGAGGAGAGCAGATTATAAAATTGATTGCATTCAGCAGCCTGTCATTCATCTCAGCTGGTTCCAAGGGGACAATACGTTGAAACGGTATCTTCAGTAGGGTAATTTTCACGTGGGGTCTTCAGTATCCCGATCCAGTTCCAAGCTAGACCCGTCTTATCAAGCCATCACAACAAAATAAAATAGAACCATGTCAAGTGGTGCCACTCCTCCCACAGGTGCTCCTGCACCCAGTCCTTCTCCGGCTCCAGCTGCTGGAGGGAAGGCAGCCGGATCTCCCGCCCCAGGAGCAACTCCTGGTTCTTCAGCGGGTGCTACCACCACCACTACCAAGAAGAAGACGACCAAGAAAAAGGCAGCCGGTGGTGCTGGCGGTACGGATAAGACCAAGAAACCCACCAAGAAGAGAAAAACGGCCAGCAAATCGTCTGGAACCGCGGCTTCAAATGCAGCGATGGCAGCAGCTGCCAAAGCGGCAACGGCCGATTTGGCACTGCAGCGTGCTCAGGCTGCTGCTCGCAAAACAGATCCATTGTGGTATCGGATCGAAGATGTATTACCCCCTGCATCCACCAAGGCAGAAGCACAGCAACAACATGAACACACCATGGCCAGCAGCAGTAGTAGTATTTTGCCAGAGCAAGTGCAAATTGTCGAAAGTGCACTCAAATTCAACAACATGACCAGAAGTGATGTCACGCCACAGGCAATGGCTTGTCTATTGGAACAGGCACGACGGTATGCCACGGAATTACAGGAAGATGCACAGGATTATGCGGCACACGCAGCGGGATTATTTGTACCAGCGCCAGGTGGGAAAGGAGGTGCCACCGTGCCAAACGGTCCTTTGCCAGAACCATCGCCCAAGGATTTTTCCCTGGCGGCCGAAATGAGACCGGATCACCCCACAGCCGTGACGGCACAACTACCCAAACTCATGCTTCTGGCTCAAAAAGTCAATGCCGTGCCTTTGCCACCGATTCCTCCACATTGCTACAATGGAATATTGCTGCCACCAGCGCCACACGCTCTCACTTCACGGACGTTTGATGTTGTCACGGGTAGTCATGTCGCTCAAAAGATGATCCAAGCACCTCCTGGTCCACCCAAGGCATTTGCCAGCAGCATGGCGGCGGCAGGACAACTAGAAAAGGCATCGTCGGCGTCGTCGACAACCACTAAAAAGAGCAGCAAGACAGGGTATGGTGCTACACGAGGCCCGCAAATCCCCGTCAAGCTCAAGGCGGCCGATGCGGCAGCGGCCGATGGGACTTCGACACCCAAACCACCGGCAGCGACATCGTCATCATCTACCGGTCCTACGCCAATGGACACTTCCAAAAGTTAAAAGAGTGTTGCAAGCTTGTCTCATGGTTGAGCGAAAAAACGGAGTGGCGATATGGGCAGACTTTGGCTGTACCGTACCAGAAACCGGTGCGGTGCTTGATTGATTACATTAAATTGATTGATCGATAGCGCGAATGGTGACAAATAGGACAACGGTACTTTGGGTTTCAATCGTCTCAAGGTGTGTGACCTGAATATTGTGGGCATGATGTATTGTCGCATAGAGTAGCACACATTGATATAGCGCGCTCCTTTTCGTACTGAAGGGGCACGCACCGCGAAGGCACAAATACCGGTAGCTCGCAGCAATTCCAAACATACCGTAAGGCGCGAGACAGATCTACACGGATCCCCACATTAATTCAATGAAGAATGGAGAGTTGCGGCAGGAAGTGCCTTCAGGGTCAATGAGTATTAGTCCTGATCCATCCGCATGGGATTGTTGCTATGAAAGGCTGGGCATCTGAGGATTTTAGGGGCATTGTCAAAGGATAGCTATTACATTTTGTCAGGATTACCAAAGCGAGGGAGAGGAAACCAATTGAAACTGCCACAACTTGAAAATCATGGTACAGAGAATGGGGAATGCTTGCTCGTCATAAGTCGAGTCAAAGCAGAGCTTATCCGTATCGCACTCCGTACAAGAATCCAAGGCTGAATCCAGACGAAGAAGGAAGTTTGTTGACCAGAAGTGCCTTGAGTTTCTTCCAATAAAGCTTCAAATCTTCTGCATCGACTTTGCCATCTCCCGTCTATCAAATAATTGTCGAGCAATAGTAAGGCAATGGCCAAGAGTGGATTGTTTTTGTACAAATGATAAGGTTCAACGTCAGCCGGGTCCAATATTTTTGTTGCGATTTTCCGGAAGCAACAGGAATATCCTTTAGAAACAAGAAGAAAACTCTCCAGAAAAGTAAGTTGAAAAGGGGACTACGTACCGTGTCGAGTTTCTTCATGGTATCATCTGAAATTTTAGCCCAGTCCACGGCGATGTAGCCGGTCGACGCTGCCGCTTGAAGCCCAATGAAAATGACGCCTACTCCAAATGCAACCGCCTTGCCGACCTTCTTCATGGCCATTCCACTGCAATATCCCATCGCGGCACCAAAACTCAGCTGAGCCAGCAGAGGCTTTGCCAGTTCGATGGCATTCTCAACAGGATCCTTCTTCTCAGTCATATTATTCAGCTATCAACACTTGCTATCTAGCTAACTAGCTAGTCACTTCCTCAGGTGTGCTGTGATCTCAGCAACGGTGGATATCAGAATCCTTTTGCCGAAAAATAAATGACGAGCCTTCGCAAAAGAAATGGAGGTGCATGCAAGGTACAAGTTGGATCGTTTTTCTTACGTCACTCTCTCACCTTTCCACGCTACCTGGTACGACTGTACCCACGCTCCACGGTCTTGTAAAACTTTGCCCCCTTCACCACACAAAAAGAAATGCAACAGATGTCTGCGAGATCTACCGGTAGAGGGGCCTGGCAATGGACCTGGCTTGGAGCGGGTCCTGGTGTGGGGCTTGGAAAAGGACCAGGTCCTGATTTGGGCCTCTACTAGGAGTGAAGGTCCTGGTGTGATTCCTGGAGTGGGGCTGGGGTAAAGGTCCTGGTGGGAGTTGATCAGGAGTGAATTCAGGTGATTGACTAGAATATAGGGGCCAGGTGAGGGGCGGAAGTAGGACCAGACCTTGTGGAAGTGTAAGACGAGGATTTGTGCCAGGAGTGGGGCCAGAAATAGGACGAAGACAGCTACGAAGACCGCGGAGCCAGTCGCAGCAGAACAAGGTGTGTGCTGTATGTTGGACGACTGCATTGAATTTCTTCCACAAACTGGCCTCTGAAGATCAAGACAGAGGCAATGTTGTTAGTACTGTACAGCTGACTGGTGGAGCACTATGCACAGCATAATCGCTGTGCTGACCGTGCTCACGGTGGTTTGAAACGAGGCAAAAAAGCTCATTAGCTACCGCCATGTTTCTCTGGGTGCTCTGGTTGCCGGGTATGTGCTGAAAACTGCAAGCCACCGCCAGACGGGAGCACCAACAGATCGCCAAGCACAGCAACTCGTGAAGGGAGTGCCAGATAGTAGGTGCCCCTAAGGGAAAGATTGCAGCTACTTGTAAACGGCATTAAACAAGATAACTGATCACTTTATACAGTTGTGACATTTCAAAATTCCTAACTTTCAAGTTACTTTCCTTTGTGCATCATTCTTTTCACAGCTCATAAGTGCTTGAGAGTGTGCTATTGACTGGCTGCATTGCTTCTTGCCAGTGGCCATAAAGATGGAGACGTTGGGATTCTTGTTGCGGCTGACTGTGAGTGTATCCCGCCAATGACAGCCTAGCTAGTGAGACGCTCGCATCCTGTCTCTAAGTAACCTATCCAATGCAATGTACGGATCCGAACTACAGTGTCAGAATATTAATAGCGGAATTGATATTATTGGTCTATGGTCGTATCCCGTCTCTAAGAAACCTATCCAACGCAATGTACGGATCGGAACTATAGTGCCAGAATAGCGGAATTGATATTATTGGTCTATGGTCTGGTACAATTTTCGAAAATTGTTTTTTGTTTGCCGTGAGCGAGACCGGGGCATGTCTGAAAGATGGTAATACACATGAAGCCAGCTCGGGTATATTGATATTCGCCATTAATATATTAATTAGAGAAGCCTTACAAGCTCTCTGTCGATCACATGTAAATTCCATATATACGATCCGTGGTGAACTATACTCGCCCATTCGTGCTGAAACTCGAGCTCTCGCAGATTTATTTCAAGAGCTCGCCAGGAATATCGAATGGCTTCCAGCGAGAGGAACACCGACTGTAATTGACAGGATCTTACACAAAACAAGCATCCAACCAAACCAAGCTGACTCCACTCTGGCATTGTCGCTGCGCAAGCTGCTACCTTCTTCTGTTGTCCTAGCCAGATGGTCAAGCCATGATGGTCAGCCTACTCATGCTCATCATCGCTTCTGCGTTCTTTTCATCCAGCTGCAAAGATGGCCTCACGCTCCATGCGTCGTTGGCATTTGGCAGTGTCCTCGGAAATGGACGACATGGCAGGTGCACTGTCAGTAGGAAGCTCAATCATACTGTCACTGCTGTCATCACTAGATCCATCGTTGCTCTTGCTACATTTGGTGCTTGCCTGACTGGGCTGTTCACAGAAGAGAGTCTCAGTCTTCGCCTTGAAACTCTTGTTGCTCTTACGCAGGACAGGAGGCAGATTGTCGGCATCCTCTTGAGTGAAAACACCAAAAGGGACGCATGGGTCCTTTTGACCACCAACACCGCTGGACTCCACTGTAGAAGCAGATTGTGGAGTACGACGCTTGGCAGAAGACAATCCTGCTTCAGGGGTGCCTCGTTTCTTAGGGGTCATGCTCTTGCTCTTCTTGCCAGCAGTGGGACGACCTGGAGTCTTACCACCACCGTCGTCTTTGCCATTCTCGTTAGCTTCGCCATCCTGGTTACGAGGAAATCACCACCACTCATGTGGCTTGGGAGGATGCTGCCACCACTCAAAACGAAAGACTGTTTTCATGGGAGCCGACAAGAAGCTTGGATCACAGGTGACAACCTTGCCTCCAGCAGGCAGGGAAGCAAGACGATAAGTCTCATCTTCAATGTCATCGTTGGTAAGAGAAGGCAACTCAACACACAATAATCCGTTCCACTGGTTGTCTTTGTCAAAGGCCTCCTTGCGCAAGTGCAGTTCAGTTAGACTCCAGCCAGCCCATGGCCTTACAAATGAGACCGTACTCATAACGGTACTGTCCCAAGCAAGGCGGAACACACGGACCTTCTGAAGAGTCACAAGGCGATATTTCTCTGGGATCCCTCCAAGCAAGTACTGCTCACCGACTGGAGGTAAAGGGTAGCCACCCTTCTGGCCCTTGAAGTATGTCTCAAGATCAGGCTTCGGGTCATAGTAGGACCATGCAAGCGCACGGTTTCGGTTGAGCCGCTGACTGTCATCCAAGGACGTCCACATCTCCAAGGTCATCCCAGGTACCTTGATCTTGCGTCCATCACCAAGGTCACCATTCGACAAAACCAACAAGGCAACACTGACTTCATCCTCCAACCGAATGAGCTCCTTCTCTTCCTGAGTCATGAGAAACTCATCAATGTCATCAGAATCAGTGTTCGTGCCGGCAAGTTGCTTTATATCCTCGCGAATGATCTCACCAACAGAAGCCACAGGGACAGTCTTGCTGGAAGCTCCAGCGGGACTGGTCAAGATCTCATCATCTCTCATGGAAGTATCGATCTTGCTCAGAAGGGTATGCAATGTCAAAGAACGAATGTTCTTTGGGTAACGTGAAGAGATCTTGCGTGCAACATCGGGTCTACGATTGCCAGAAGAACTCCCCTTGGAGGAACTTCCCGGAGTTGTTGAACTTGAAGAAGACGATGGAGTAGTACCGACGGTGTTGGTGGAACGCGCTTTTTGTTTCCGCTGCCATTCCTTCACTTTATCCTCTATACGCCCAGCTGTACTCATGGTAGCAAGGGCACCAGGAGCTTTCTTCTTGGTAGACTTCTTGCCGGAACGCTTCTTGCCAGCAGGATGATAAGGGTTACTCGGTGGAGGCTTCTTCTTACCGGGGGGCCTGCCGGACATGGTGGGAAAAGAACGAACGAAAAAGCTACAGCAAAAGTCTTTTCTTCAGTTTTGTTCCAACTGAAGAAACAAAAGTGATCTCTAGGCAGTGGTCGCAACAATCAACCTGATCGAAGAAGCACGACATGATGCGAACCAAATCAGTTAGACCACAAACAACACCGTTCCGAGAACTTGAGCATTGGAGGCCTCACGCTGTGGTTGCTGCACGGACGTGGAAATGCAGTCTTAAGGCAAGCTGGTCATCCCAGAGGAACATTCGAAAGAAGGTGCAGACGGACAAAGTGTACAGTACTGGTCATGGACTACAAGCCGACAACTATTCCTTGATTTTCGGAACAGAAGACGACACCGAGGAGCAGAACGCTAGGGTTTGTATATCTTTGTGGTGGTGGCAAATACGTTCCTTATATCGAAGCTCACTATTTCAATCAGTTTTTCTTTTGCACAACAGGTGGTCGTGTAATGTTGATATCTTCACAGTGCATGGTGCACACCCTTTCTTTGTGTTCTGCCTTTCGAGCTACTCGATAATGGGTGGGCTGTTCATAAAACTCCACGATTTCTTCCAAGCATAACTGTCTTTCCTTGATGTAAGTGGGCGACGGATCTTTTGCCAAAATATCCCTTCTTTTATTGGACAAGGACAAACCGAGATACTCAACTGTTGCCATGGCCTGTTCTCGATTCAGGGTTTCAAAGAAGGCCACATCACTATCAAGCATCTTCTGCGTTTGTCTTTTGACTCTGCCATTGTGCAGAAGTCCACCTTTGTACATGCCCATCCGATGACCTCTTGCATGTGCCTTATAACATCATTTGCTTGTGTTACACATCACCTTTCGTCGCTCCTCAAGTGGAACGGTGAGTGCTCCAAACCTGTTTCGAAGATACGCTGCTGCTGGACAATTATAGCCAAGTCGCTTGACACAATCTTCACAATCCCCAACCAAGTGTCCATCCGAGTTTTTTTTTCAGCATGCAAGTGGTTCTTGTGACTGACACCATGTTCTTTGCTGTATCAGCTCCTGTCCAGGTGTTTGAATACAAATCAGTGAAAGGTTCTTCTTTGCCGTGAAAAGATGATCCGATAAGAGCAAGCCTCTGGTCCGAAAGGGGGGCTCCAATCATGTAACCGATATTGAAAGTCCAAGAAAGCTCCTCCCCACTATCCGACCTGACTGTGTGGAAATCATCAGGACGAATGAAACTCGATGCCACCAGCGCCTGGGTAGAACAAGTAGTGGGAATCACTATGGTGCAGTCATCATCTCGATTCTCGGCATCTCGAGCCAGAAGACTTGGAAGGGTGTCCACCAGAAATCGGGCATGGGAGACATTGGTTTCGACCGGTGCATTGGGTCCTTTGACACTGTGAAGGTTGTTACTCTCGTTGCTGCAGTTGTGAACTTGTACTCCAACCCGCATTGTACAGTTATAGTTGATGTTCCAGTATGGACTGCAGCAATGAGATTTGAAGAAGAGAACTGCGGCAGCAACCTCTTCCAAATCCTCGATCCAGTGTCGAAGTACCAATTCGGTGACTCTCGCTCTTTGAAGGTAAGACTTGGACTGGTGAATCAGAGTGATGTGCTTGTACATCAAAGGCCTTGCCCCCCCCCCTCTCCCAGGTTTTACAAGATGACGCTTCTTCGCTCACTGTACGAAACCATCATTCTTCGTGAAGTGTTGTGTTACGTGAAACCAGCAAAGTGTGACAGCTTTGTGACTGCTTGGATGGTACACCGATGTCCACCAAGCTGACCAATCGATTGGCGACTGAGAGGTTCTGTTACAGTTCAAGGTTCTTGTTAGTTCTGTCGCGGCTTTACTTTTCCAAGCGGGACCGAAACCAAGTGGAGCCCCGCCACTGGATCTGTCACTACAAAACACAGATTACTAACCAAACCAACAAAAGCATAAACTAACATCATCTCTGTATCAAGCTCATCAAGACAAGCACTATTGTGCTTGGAAGTAAGTCAATCAGAGCTATATTCAAAAAGTTACATCCCCACAAAGATCCCTCCAAGACAACGCGCATACAGCGAGTGATTGCCATTCCAGAGAATTCCAGTCATTCCACGTATACCCTGGTACTGTTTCTACAGAAGGTCATTATCCAAAACGACAAATCACCCAACAACAAA